TAAAAATTCTGTATTTCCTTCTAGAAATCTTTCTGTGTTATTTCAGAATACAAAAGTTATATTTATAACATGCACTGTCATTCTTTGTTTATAATTATTTCTCATTTCATTGCTAATTCTTCATAAAGATGAATTCAACCTGATAATTCATCATACAGATATATTATAGTTTAGTCATTCCCTTATTGAATGTTGATCAAATAACAAATACTTCCTCAGAAAGGAGGCACAGAATTACTAAACAACAAAGAATAGAAAGGGTATACCCCTTTGCATGATAGATGACAAACAGTATGCATCTCTGACAAAATGACTGTTCTTTCTTTTTTTTTTTGAGTCAGTCTCAAGGTGTTACCCTGGGTAGAGTACTGTGGTGTCACACCTCATAGCAACCTCAAACTCTTGGTCTTACATGATTCCCTTGCCTCAGCCTCCCAAGTAGCTAGAACAATAGGTGCCCACCGTAACCCCCAGCTATCGTTTGTTGTTGCAGTTGTCATTGTTGTTTTGGGCCAGGTTTGAACCAACCAGCCTTGGTGTATGTAGTAGAGCCTTATCCACTGAGTTGTAGGCACTGCCCAAAATGACTGCTAATTCTTTGTAAATCTGATTCAAAAAAATAGTACTGTTGGTTTGGTGCCCAGCACAGTCGTTACACCATCAGCCATATATGTGGAAACTAGGGGGTTTGAACCCACCAGCTAAACAATGACAACTGCAACAAAAAATTGCTGGGCCTTGTGGCTGGCATCTACAGTTCCAGCTACTTAGGAGGCTGAGGCAAGAGAATCACTTAAACCCAAGAGTTTGAGATTGCTGTGAGCTGTGACACCACAGCACTCTACTGAGGGCAACAGAGTAAGACTCTGTCTCCAAAAAATAAAAATAAAAAAAAACTAAATAAATAGTACTGTTATTTTAAATGTATATTTCATTGTTGACCAGTGAGTTTAAACATTTTTTTCATGTTCATAGCTATTTAAATTACACGCTTTGTCAATTATTGCCTCAGGTTCTTTGGCCATATTTTCCAGCAGATGTAGTGTTCTTTATTTGTATGAGCTTTTTTTTGTTTTCTGAGACAAAGTCTTACTTTCTTGCCCTGGTATAGTGCTGTGGCACAGCTCCCAGTAACTTCAAACTCTTGGGCTCATGTGATCCTCTTGCCTCAGTCTTCCAAGTAGCTGGGACTACAGGTGCCTCCACAACACCCAGCTATGCATGAGCTTTTTATAGGCTATGACCACTGACCCTGCTTTGTCTGTCAAAGTTTTTTCCCAGGCCAGGCACAGTGCCTCATACCTGTTATCCTAGCGCTATGGAAGGCTGAGGCCAAGTGGACTGCTTGAGTTCAGAAGTTCCTGACCAGCCTGAGCAACAGCAAGACCCTGTCTCTGCTGAAAACAGATCAACTGAGGGAAAATCTCTTAAGCCCAAGAGTTTGAGGTTTCTGTGAGCTGATGCCAGGCAGTCTACTCAGGGTACTAGAGTGGGACTGTCTCAAAAAAAAAAAAAACAAACAAAAAAACCTTTTTCTCCAGTATGGTGTAAATGACTTTTTAAATAAATTGTACATCTACGTGATGCTTTATTTACAGAGCTTCTTTGGAGAGGTATGTATTTTTACTAATCCTGCTAGAATTACTAAAAACACTTTTAGAATTCATTTTTGG